CCACCCCTTCATAAATTTTTTTATTTTGAAGCTGGGCATGGTGGTGCACACCTATATCCCCAATATTTGGAAGACTAAGGACAGAAGAACTTACAAAAAAGAAAAATCCATACTCTTGCTGCTTACAGAATCAAAGTGAACATCATAGTTAAAAAGAGAAGGCCCTAGCTAGGCACAGCAGCTAATGCTTACAATTCACAAGTTTGAGGACAGCCTCGACAACTTAGCAAGAGCTTTTCTCCAAATTAAAAAATCAAAAGGGCGAAGGATGTAGCTCAGTGAACCCTGGGCTCAATCCCGAGGACTGTAAGATAGACAGACAGACAGATCCATAAACCACAACACTGAAATAATAACAGCAAAATAATCACAAAACAAAGTTACAGAACAGCACTCCCTAAATCAGTAATACCAAATGGACTTTAATTCTCAGTCGAATTCTATTCCTAACAGCATCTAGCAATACTGGATGAAAAGAATATCAGCCTCAGTTATTGATTAGCAATGTCTGTCTTAGGCTCAGCAAAAGTGCAGCTATTGATTAGTGATATCTGCCTCAGGTTCAGAAGTGGGGAGAGGTGGCACATTTATTGCCCTTGCCCTCGACTTACTGTCTACAAACTTCAGACTCTCTGCCAATCTTTCTGTTTATCAGACTTTTTCAAACATTTTTTTTTTCTGAGACACACTTATTATATAGCCTAGGCTACCTTGAACTCAAGGCAACCCTTCTGCCTCAGCCTTTCAAGTGTTGGAACGACAGGTATGCACCACCATGCCTGGCCTCTTCAGACCTTTTTTCAAATAAAAATATTATATACAGATATGGACATTAGGGAAGAAAGCAGGAACTTTCAAATCAGTATTATCTGCCAACACTGACCCTTGAAGTCACTGAGGGGTCAGGACACCCCACGTTCTTACCTGGCCAAAGACAAAGCAGTACAACGTCACACCCATAGCCCAGACATCTAAAGCCTGCAGAAGACACAGAGCTTAGTTAGCATGACAGGCTGGGACAGGAAAGGGCATCTCCAGCCTCCCTCTGACCTCTTCATGATTCCCAGGAAGGGCAGGTGACCTGGGCTGGGTCAATGAGAGCACGATTTTCCCCAGCCGCAGGGATCGGTCCAGGGTGGGCACATGACCCACACTCGCCCAATCATCGCCAGCCCTAGGGTTCTGGCTGGTGCTTTTTAGAGACGCTGTTTGTGCTTAGTGAACATGTCTGTAAAGTGACAGAAAGTAGCCTGAAGGTGCTGGTGACTGGCTACCATCTAAGCAAATCAATTCACAAAAGCAGGGGACAGCTGGGGCATGGACGATGGGGAGAGCCAGACCCTGTTCAGGTCCTCACATCTGACCATACCTGAAGCCAAATGCACCTACTCCCCAGCTATGGGACCCTGTGGATTTTCTGCTTCAGCCTGTTTGAATTGGGTTTTTGTTGTCCTAACACAGGCAGAATCTGGCAGCTCAATGGGTCTAAACCCACCTTTCCAGAGAAGATCTTGCGGGTTTCTGAGAGTGACTCGGGCGCCATGAAGGCAGGTGTGCCCACGGTGTTGGACAGGAGGGCATCACTGCCCTTGAACTCGTTGCTGACACCAAAGTCGGCGATCTTGATGTGGCCATCATCTCCCACAAGCAGGTTGGAAGGCTTGATGTCTCGGTGGATGATCTTCTGGTAGTGTACTGGGGATGGGCGGACATCAGTGGAAGAGAGGGGGCAGGAAAATGTGGTTGGTTCCCCATGGAGCTGGGCGGCCCAGAGACAGCACAGCACCCCAGGTGGCCTGCCGCCCACACCCCAGCCCCTGCTCCTGCCTCCCCTCTCGTCCGTCCCTGCCAGGCACCGCTCACACGAAGTTTACCCCATTCTCAAGACAGACTATCTGCAGTATTTTGCCCATTACAGCTAAGTCGCGGGTCACAGCACGTGGAGTCTTTATTGAGCTTATCCCCAGCTAGGAGCCTGCGACTGTCAAACATGTTCCATTTACCAATGGCCAACACTCATCTTGTCCACTGAACCAACAGGGATCCTGGCTGCATGGCTGGCTAGACGTCAGCTCACAGCAGTGGTCCTAGGAACAGTGGCTTGCGCCCTAGAGCACCAGCTCCCCGGGGCCTAGTCCTGTGCAGTGTTTCCCATTCATCCCCTGGAACTGTTCGTCCATCCCATGGGAAAGGGAGGGACAAGAGGCCAGTTTCTTGACGACACCTGCCAGTTAGGACCATGGATGTGTCCTGGCAGATCTCAGCCCCAGCAAGCTATTGTCCTTTTCTTACAAAGCAGGAGGCCAAGGCTAGAGGAGGTTAATGGGATCCCAGCAAGTGAGGGCCCCTGTGGAGCCCAGTTCCCAGTGTGCTACTGCTCATTTCTCTGAGGCAGGGGAAGATCTCCCTTTGCTAAGGGCATCTCTGGCTCTGTTTACCCGGCTCACCCCCCAGCTCTGACGCTAAGAGCCCACTTACGGTACTCAATGCCTTTGATCAGATCCTGGAAGTAGAAGCGGGCCTGGTCCTCAGAGAGCGGCTTGAGGGTGGGCACCTCCATGACAGGCCTGCAGGGGGCGCTCCATGAGTCGCACACCAGCCCCAGCCCCCTCCGCACCCCACGCTTGCCAAAGTCCGCTGGGCACCCACCCTGTTGGTGTCACACTTACCCCTGGTTAACCAGTTCGAATACTGCGGGGACAAAGGGAAAACTGTTACACCAGGAAACTGCAAAGCCACCTCCTCCCATCCTGCCCAGCTCTCAGCCACCTGGAGAAACCAAGCAGCCTAGAAACAACTCCGGCCCATGACCCAGAGATACTCAAGGCCCTCCGCCAAGTTCCCGTGGGGGCAAGGAGTCGGAGATCACAGACTGTGCCCGGCTGAGTCTCAAGGGTTTAGAACAGTCAGGGGAAAACCGGCAGAGGGGGAGGGCTCTCAGCCCCCACCCGTGCTGCGGAGTTGCGGCCATGTCACTGGGCCCCCAGTCACCCAGGTTCTCAGGCACCAGGGCCCTAAATTAGGGCAGAGCTGCTCCTCCCTCCAGCTGGGCTTAGAGCTCCAATCTTATTTACATCTTGCCCTGAAGCTTCAGGAATCCCCTACTTCTTTCCAAGAACCGCGAGCCAGAAGCTTGGCTCAATTTGGCTACTCTGGGGGTTGAGTGTGGGTGGAAATATTTTTTTCTGCTACTGAGCTGCACCTCCACTTCGTTTTTGAGT